CGCCGAGCAGGGAGCCCGATGCGGGACTCGATCCAGGGACTCCAGGATCATGACCTGAGCCGAAGGCAGTCGCTTAACCAACTGAGCCACCCAGGCGCCCAAAAAGTCGGTTTTTAATATATGTTGGGGAAGGAACTCATAATACCAACTTAGTTTATCTGTTCAGGACAAAAATGTTATTTGTGAATGGAAACCAGGTCAGTCTTGATTGTTACACTGATTTTTCTTTAACTGATAATTTAGATTAGAATAGTCGGGCTCCTGGGTGGCTCAGTCGTTAAGCGTCTGCCTTTGGCTCAGGTCATGATCCCAGGGTCCTGGGATCGAGCCCCGCATCAGGCTCCCTGCTCAGCTGGGAGTCTGCTTCTCCCTCTCCCTCTCCCCCTGCTTGTGTTTCCTCTTTCGCTGTGTCTCTCTCTGTCAAATAAATAAATTTTAAAAAAAAATTTAGATTAGAATAGTCTAACAACCTGATAAAATTTACTCACAAATTCTGAGTATGTTAGGTATAAAAGGGAACAAGATATACATTTTAATACAGGAAATGGGCAAACTCACTTATTAAATGTGTGATCTTGGGCAAATGACCAGATCCCTCTCAGCCTCAGCTTCCTCACCTGTAACAGGAAAAGACACCTGGTGGAATGTAAGCTTTTCCATTTTGCTCAGATGGAAATGTAAGTTTTCCACTTCTTTCACCTCATAAAACATTTCCAAATTACAACAAATCTCTGATCCAAGTTATTAATCTGCTTTCTACTCTTAACTTTTCAACATAGTCTAATGGATTCCTCCTCTATTATCTTTTCCACCTGCTGGCCCAGCCTGTCTCCAGTTGGTGGCATCCTAGGTACCCACAATGCCCAGGGCCTGCGAGTTTAAGGCTGGTTCATGTGAACCAAGTTAGTCCTAGCTAACTTGGGGAGTGGGGATCCCTTCTACCAGGGCTTCTGCACAAGAAGAAGATTCCTACATCAGGGCAGAATGTGGATGGAGGAGGTTTTATCCTCTGAGGATCGGTGGAAAGATCTAGACTTTGGCATTGGTCAGACTTAGGTTTGAATCCTAACTCTGCTATATACTATGTGATGAGAAATACCAATTAGTTCCTCACCCAAAGTTGACGATAACTAATGCTCACCTTGAAGGATTATTGGGTTAGAATTAAATAATATAACAGCCAAAATATTGAGTATGTAGTAGGGTCTCAATAAATGGTTACTATTATAGCCTTAGCTCTGACCAAGGTAGAAAGCAGAAGTTCCCGCCTAGCTCTCTAGGCAAGATGTAGATGTTCAAAATAGCATTGGACTTTCCAAAAAATTTAAGTTAAAATATCATCCAAAGTCATTTTTAGTCATTGATAAATTAAGTCACCACGTCATTTCCAGGGCTAACTACATTCATTATAGACAGATGTAATAACCACGTAAAATTTTCCAAACATCTCAATTCTAAGAATTTAAACAAAAACGTTATATTTGCCGAAATTTCATTTGTAAAAATTTAGATTAGAATGGCCTAACCTGATAACAAATTTACCCACAACTGTTGAATGTCCATATTAGGTGTAAATGGAAACCAGCTGTAATTTTTAATGCAGTGAATGGAGTAAAGAAATGTGCAAACCAGTCAAAATGTTTATAAACCAACGATTCCTCTGGGACTCAGTGCCCTGACTTTACTCTTTTTTTAAACATACAGAGTCAAGCTTTGTTCATACTTGAATTATGTACCTTGCATAAGCCATGCAATTTAACTTTAACCCACAGGACTGAAAATAAAATGAGCTCAGACTGCAGAGCAACAAGACTGTGAGCAAGGAAGAGTGTTAATCAAAGTGAAAGACACACCCCTCATTGCTGCCTCTGTACTTCTCTAGCCTGCTCCTGTCAGATTATTTAGGTTTCCTTATACTTGACTCCTCAAAGTGGCAGAAACAGGTTACAATTTTTATCATGAAAAAGGGATTTGTCTTTTAAATTAATGTTTGTGTATATGCCCTGAGGAGGTTGATGAGTAGCATGCAATTTTTAAAAATCATAAGCAAATGCATACCCTTGCCACTTGTAATCATGACAAAGCCTAAGTAATTCAGGCATGAGCATGGTTTTTTGTTTTTGTTTTGTTTTTTTTAAGGGCAAAACAGGATTTACTAGTCGAGAATGTCTGCCTAAACAAGCTCATCTATCTGAATGCTTTCAACTGCCGTTTAAATTTAACACAAGCAGGTTTGGTAAACGGGCCAAGTTTGCTCATTGAGCACTTTTAGAACATCACAAAATAAACCGATACATGGCTTTTAGGCTCATTTTGACAGAGGGTGGACAGAGAACCCACTGCGAGGTTTGGAAACCGCTTGCCTTGGCACCAGGTTTAAGAATATCAGTAGGGGACATGACCACATTCACCACTCTGTCCCTCTGAGGACATAACACTGTTCACTCATCTCATGAGTATCTGATATGGATTACTGTCCTTGTCACTGTCATTTATTATCCCAGGCAGAGGAGGCAGCGACTTAGTTCTACGTGGTCAGTGTTGATTCCGCATCGTGTCTATTTAGCCTACATGATAGTAATTTGTGAGTATCTTCACATGATTGTCAGATGTTGTTAGTGGGGAATATCTGAACAGACACTAATAGCCTCAAATGCCTGGGTGTTCACTTCAACCTCCTCTGACCCCACCCTAAGGACCCTTCCCTATAGATGACCGTGTATTAAATTGGAACCTTGTAACTCAGCCTGATAGTCTCTCTAATTTTTGACCCCCATGGTAAAAAGGAGGAATTAGCCTAAGGACACTGCATTCTAATTTTCTGTCGCTGTCAGTGCTAACCAGAGCTCGTAGAGCAATATTGTGGGGGTGGGGGAGATGGTTCCACCATTGGTGTTAGACCAGGAGCTACTGTTTCCGTTAGAGCCACGTTTATTTCTGAAGTAGTTGTGGGGGAGAGATGTGTTCCAAAGAGAGAAGAGGATTCGGCGTGGTTCAGGTATGACTGCCCATCTGGACAACGCAAGCCAGAGACTAAGTACATGGGATAGAGGTGGGCTGGTGCTTCCCACACACTGAGCTGAAAATCACTTGGATTTGGGGGAAGGAGATAGCATGAAAGCTAGAAACAAAAGATCTGGTTGTGAAACCTAGTACCTAAGTTAAGATGTTCGAATACATTTTCTCCCTTAAAAAAATTCTGGGGAAATTGAATGTTTCTGCTAACCTGACTATTTTTAGCCAGTCCTCATGGAAGATGGAGGCGCTGGGAAACTAGCAACCCCAGAAAATATTAATTCATTTTTGCACGTGTTAAAATTAATTAACATTCGTGTATTCAGTGATACAACAAGGCAATTAAAGACTTTGGAGAGGTAAGAAGAAAAATGTAAATATATATTCAAAATCAGGCTCATAGCATTTTATAAAAATGTTGGCTTACATCCAGGATCTAAGGGTCGGGGTGGGTATGGTTTCTTTGTAGCTGAAGAAAGTGGAAAAGAATCTGCTCTATTTCCTTAAAAATAAAAGACTTCTTGTTTTATACAGCATGGTAAATGAAATGCTTTTCTGTTTTTTACCTGCCGGCAGTTTCTGGAGGAAATTTTTCTAGCAAGCTATGCTGTTTTCCTCTCTTCGGGGACATGGTGACACTGGTTCTGTAGCAAAACAGTATTTGCTTATTAGGCATTTCTTCAAAATCCTGAATAAGCAGCTCTTTCCACATTTTTTGTTCCACATGTTAAACATTTCATTGCAATTTGAGCTTCAATTGTGTGTGTGTGTGTGTATTGATAGGAAGGATTGAAAGGGGATGCATAAGAATTCTTGAAGGTTTTTTTGTTTAAAAAAATTAATTCCTACAATTATGTATTGGACTCTCTACAGAAGGCAATTCCAATTTATTACACAGAGCCAAACTAGATCTCATCAATCTTAAGCAGCGGGGGTAGGGAAGTGGTATTGAAGAAGACATGAAATTTGGTGTTTGAGTAGATGAGATTTAATTTTCGGAAAACATTTCACTCATAAAACGGATGGCACCCCAGTGTCAGCCCTGACCTCCATGATGTCAATGTCATCGTGCAAGCATAGCTAAGATAAGCCTCAAAGTAAAACAAAGAAACATTGCATTTCAGCACACACCAGTTCTTCTCTTAAAGCATGTACTATGTATATACATACAGCCTTTTGATATTCCTGTTAATGCCTTGTTACTTTACAATATAGCTTTTGGAGAGGGAGGGAGGAGAAAAATCATTTTGCATGTTCTATGTTCTGAGCAAGTGCGGTAAGTACGCTGCTGCAAGTCGTAACATTATTTAGGTCAGTATCCTAAGGATAGCTTTTGTCGTTCACGATGGTCAGCTATACATCCAAAGGAATTCAGCATAAATTTATTTTTCTGTACTGATTTTATTTGCTTCTAAGTTTAAGCAAATTCATTCACATTTTAATACAATTGCAACTGAGAAGGTATCTGCCATTCTGTACTGCAGATACATTTAGCAGGATACATTTACACGGCTTGTGGTTAGAGGTGATAGCACGGATACAGACAGCCCGATCATGCATTCTTCTACAAGCCTGCCGGCATCATTTAGGATCTGAAAAATAATCTAGAAAAGCTATACCCTATATAATATTATTTTTTACTTTACAATAGCTAACTGTTTTTTGTTTTGTTGTTGTTGTTGTTAGCAATTCTATGAAATTAATCGTCTACAAAATGCATCCCAAACCAGATACATACTGTATTGAAAGCTTTCTTCAAGAAGATATGACAGTATTCATTCCAGCTTATTTTCTTCATTAGCAAAAGGATTGTTTGATTCTCAGAAGCAAAAGGACACATTCATTGTGCAGCAGCTCTGCTTAAGTGTATGAAATGCCTTCTACTGTCTGGTTGCAGAATTTGGAGTTTGCTAAACAGTGTTTAGTGATTGGGCTCATCTTGCATCACCAGTTGATGACATTTTTCTTTGTTCCCTCCTACCCAGTTGAACCAAGACTCTGAGGCTGATATGCAATGTCACTTACAACATTAATCAGATACTGCATTTAAGGTGAGCTGTCCCTTGCCTCCTCCTTCCCCAGTGCTCGTGTGCTGCATGCAGTGCGTATCTTGCTTCTGCGAGCCTAAGATGGCAGGCAGGATTAGCCGTGCTTTTGCTGTGTGTGCATGCTGTGTATAGAATTCATTACACGTTGCCTAGTATTTCAGATGTGAGTATGTAAATGCTCGGTATGCCATATCATCTGGTAGCGAAGACTTGTTTTTGCCTCATTACAGCCTTAGATATTTCAACATCACCTTTCAGTTCCGATTCATTTGCCTCTGGATGTTTGCTTTTCATCACGTTCAAAATAGGATTTTACCTTTTTTTTTTTTTAACAAAGCCAAAAAAAAAAAAACCCTAAAAACAAAAACAACAACAAAACTCTGCTACCAGATGGTGTCTCTCCTTTCTTCTTGCATTTGCTGTCTTTTAAATAATGTATGTTGTATTGTTAATTAATGTGAATATCAAATTAAACACTTGAAACTTACATATTTATTATGCAGGTAGGAGGCAAGGTGGAATCTATTTTTAACTCTTATGCACTCCATGGTGTGCAAACAACTTGGTTCTCAAATTTGTATTTTCAGTGCTGGTATCAGTGGTTTGATTTTCAGCAAATGTGACAGTGGCCTTTGCAGTGGTCAGCTCCGGGCTTTGAACTCTCAGAGGAGGAAGGGAAAAAAAATTCAACACACCACCTCCTTGGTTGCAGCCTCAGAGAAATCTTGGATGAGAAACTTCTTTTTTTCAATCCTGTTTTCCTGTTGATAAATTCAGTTCTCGTGATCACAGTACATTCAAGCTGTTCTGCGTATGATTTTGTGTGTGTGTGACAATTGCATCTAAAACTTGTGAGCAAGAAGACGGAGAAATCAGTTGGTCTCCATCGCTTTACATAAAAATGGCTGAGTGTCTTGTCATGCTAGCACTGCATTAAGTGATACATACAGGTAGGTCGAAATTTGCATGTTTTATAGATTTTTTTGAGCCATGCAGCAAGAATTGTAGATGGATTAAAATATGACTTTTGGAACAAACATTAAATAAGACAGCTGTAATTTTTTGGAGGGAGGGCATTAAATTGGATAGGCTTTCCTATTCAGATACTATATAAATATATAGCTTTGATAAACTCACAAAATGATTCTGCTATAATAGTGAGATGATTCCTTTTTAAAAAATCATATATATGATAGGTGTGGCGCCATTAGACAACAAAAGAATTTTTTGAAAAGTCTGTTGATTCAGCTCCATTTTAGCTTGAAACTAAAAATAAATGGGTTTCTTGAGATAATTTCAAAGAGCGCAAACAAGCTTAATAAGAAACATTTAAAATATTTAAATTTTAAGAAGCGGTCTTTAAACGTGTTGTATGAAAGATGGAAATAAAAACTTACATGCTTCCAAAATCAATTTTAGATAATATAGAAGAATAAATATGCTATTTGTATATCTATTATCCGGAGAGATGAGGAGTTACAATTTTTGAAGGGGGGAGTATTAAATGTAGATGGCCCTATTAGAAGAAAAAGAGCTTCACTGAATGAAAAAGAGTCCCTAGAATGGTTCATTGCAGATCATACAGCTGTGGTTCTGTAAGTACCAAATTCTGGCACTTTTCAAAATAATTTCATGGGCTCTTTCCTTTGAGCTTAACTTCCGAAATATATTTTAGTTTCAAATTAACACTGGGCCAGAACCTGTTTCCTTGGTAACCAAATCTTGCTTAAAAATGCAATAGCAGATATGCAAAGGATTGTCTTAAAAAAAGAAACAAATGGTTAATGAAAATTGTACAGTTCTTTTTCCTCTCATATAGAGTCTGGACTGGTTTTAGACGTTTTTAAATGCGGTCTTCAAGCCTTAAAAATTAAGCCATATTTCTACACTTATAGAGAAAGCTTGCACAGGGAGAGCTTTTTTCTTCCTCATTTGTGCTCAGTACTTTCAAAATTAAGGTTTTCTTTGTAACATGCCCCAGAATGCTGGTCAAGGTTTGTGTACAGAGGTGTAGTTTCATTATCACTGGTTCACCAGCGCCCCTGAAACAAAAGGCATCTCAGAAATTCTGAGAATCAGAAAATGCTTGTGCTCTTGTTTTCCCTGATCCCTCCATCGGTAACCTCAGAGCTCTCGGTAGAGAAGGACCCAAACCCAAGCCCGCCCCCCCAATGAGAAGTGCACATGGAGCCTTTGTGGGAACGTCTTTGTAGATGTGCTCAGAGGAAGATACTGGCAAACCTGAAACCTCTATGAGGTTTGCTCCGATGTGAAGAACATCGAGACTCAGAACCATCTGTGTAAATAGCTGCTTTATTCTAGCAGTTGGTCTAATGTTCCAAAGTACCGTGTGTAAAGTCAAACCTCTTATGGGCTAAAGGTTTGTTGCTGCTGTTGTTGTTGTGTTGTTTTGAGGCCAACTTGAATATTTTGCTTGGAGTCTTTCTCTGGCTCAATGATATCAGAACATGATTCATCCCATAGTGATTTCGTTCTCTGGGCTTGCCATGAAATATCCCTCCTGCAACACCTTTTCTTTTCTTCTTCTTTTTTTTTTTTTTTTTTTTTTTTTTTTTTTTTGGGCTGTTCGGGGGGCCATTTTCCTTCTTGTTTGTGACTAAAAATGACTAAGTACATTTTGAACGTAACATCAATCAGAAGATCGTAAACTGAAGGGGAATGTCGGAAACCTGATTCAGTCTTGCCTGTTTATTTCAGTAACAGTAGCATTAACAGTTGCAGGAGGATCAAGCTAATTGTCATTCACTCTTGAGCAAATAATGAGCCAGGCATTTGTGATTAAGACACTATTGCTATTCAGAAAGATTACAACTACAATGTCTTCTGTTTTGATAGGCCGGTACAAATCAATCATTTTGAACCTATTTGAATCTTAATCACAAGATTAGATGGATACAATGCGATTGTTTTACCACAAAAATGAACGCCCGATAGATTCAACAGTGTATTTCTTCTTTATAAAATGTTGATCCTTTTATTGTTAACTCAAGCATGGTTGCGTCATCTCGTAGATTTTCATACCTAATGATTTTTTTTTTTTTGTGGCATTATTCATTTATGGTGCTCTTGGTCTTGCCTAAAAGAATTTTAAACACAATTCAAGGAGGTTGAAAGCCAAATTAGACCGTTGGGAAGTATATTGTACCGTTGTCATTCTAATAAATAGACCACAGAATGGAAGAATGATTATTATTTATTACTTTGTTGTGTTTCGCCTTAATGCTTTGCCTTCATATTTCACAGAAATATTTACAAGGCACAAGGCTTTTCTAAACGTACCCATTTGCAATTATTATTGGATGTCCTAGTCTAGCTAAAAACACTTCCCGATGATCGCAGAGATGGCACCTACCCCTTCTCATTGTTTAAAAGGCTGTGCTTAACCCATTTACACTTTTTGGCTAAGGTGCTTATACTGGGCAGGCCAGAGCAGGTGCGACAGAAAGAATGTGCAAACAACTGCTTTGTTCTCACCAAAACAAAATGAGCAAATCTCTGGTTTCCTACCTGAATGATTTATAGTCTACAATTCTCAACTCTTTTTCTTTGGAGAATAGGAAATGTTTTTCTGAGCCTTAACTCAGTAAGAATACCAATATAGCATCTCTTGCCACTAGAGTTGCATTGATCTACTTCATTCATTTCCGTGGATCCCCCATAGAGAGACTGGCAGCCAGACCCTGTTTTGGAGCTGGTTGGTAGGGGAAGAAGGATCAGTAAAAAGATCTAGCTCCTCACTGGGTGTTATATGCAAACAATGAATCATGGAACACTACATCAGAAACTAATGATGTAATGTATGGTGATTAACATAACATAATAAAATAAAATTTAAAAAAAAAGAAGATCTAGCTCCTTTATCTTTAATACCAAATCCTGCTAAGCCTTTGAGTTCCTGGAACCATGTGGTTCATTCTAACAGCTCCCTTCCAGGGGAAATGCTGTTCTTAACAGCTTTGTTGGTAATTAAATATTTGACACATTTATTGAGCACCTACTATATGCCAGGCATATTCCAAAGGCTGAAATAGAGTAATGGGCAAGAGAGATCAGGGCCTGCTTCTTAGAGACCTGTCTCTAGTGTAGCGGAGTGGCGGGGATAGGGGAACTCAAAAATAAGTGTGTACACAATTAAGGGAGACAAGTGCAAAGAAGAAAATTAAAATAAAAATTTAAAAGGCAAGAACGATATGTTGGGAGGAGGAAAGCCACCGTAGGATGATTGGCCTTCCTGAGGAGGTGGCATTTAAAAGCGGAGACCTGCATGGTAAGATGGACCCAGCCAGGTGGAGTTCTGAGGGGATCATCACGAGGCAGAGGAGTGCGCGTGCTCAGACTGCAAACACCTTTCTTTGTGTAACTGCCACTATAACAGAGCCAGGTCTGACGACTTGGCAGGTTAAGCCTTTCCTAGGTCAGCTTCCCCTGCAGTGAGAAGGGTGGGCCAGGCCCATGGCTGGTTTTGGTCAAATTGCCAGGACGCAGTGCCAGTGAGGTTACTGCCTTTGACCCAGTCCCACCCTGAAACCAGCTAAGAAGGTGCAGTGGTGCTGATGAAATGCTGGCATAGATTTAGCGCGAACCCCAGAAATCCGCAGAAGACAGGATTCTCAGAGAGTTCTTTTTCGTAAGAACTCCAGAAAGTCAATTCATGACAACACATTGACATGACCGTTTCCTTTATTTTTTTCCAAAAGCAAATGGTGGAAGGCTCTGTCCCACCTTGCCAATGAATTGTCTGTGTCCTCTAACACCTAAAACTCTTCAGTTTTACAGATCTCTTTGCCTGACAGTGGCTTTCTAAAGACCTTACTACTTGGAGTGGTATTTCTCTATTTGAGCAAATAATACCAAAGAAATTCTTTTTAAGAACCAGATCGCTTTTAGGCTTTTTAGGTTAGTCTGCTGATAAAGCTCTGAGAACAAAGGGATATGATAGGTTTGCTATATAAGTTAGAGACTATAAGACCCTTGGGCCGCCT